ATATAGTCATGATCCTAAATTAAGAGAAAATATTAAAACAGTTATTATTATACTTGTCATAAGCCATTAGTATTAGGCTTATTATATTTTTAAATACATTATTTATCTAGTCCCTTAGAGATTTTCGAGAATTAGAAAAGTGTATAATAATAGACCACCACTGTGTTTGTTGCATTCCAGCCATCCTGAAGAAATCTGGGTTGAGTGAAACACATAATCGACAAGGGATATGACGAATATGGTATTGTTGGAGTACTATTATTATACACTATTCTAATTTTTCAAAATCCCTAAGGGATTAGATAAAAAGCCTATTATAATCATGTTTCGCCAACTTGTAAAATACGTTCACACTGCAATGGTTGTACAAGTATTACTAGTAATATTAGCACTTCGGAAATATTTTTTTAGGTCTAACAAATTGGGATGAGGGACTTTTTATTCCATATTGACTTATGTCTGCAGTTCTGGGCTATATGTCTTATCTATCGTGTTGTGGTTTATTTCCCCCATTCTGTATAACTAGTTATCTAACTAACCCTTTCAGATCTTCTAGACTATCGTCAGAGGGCGTTTGATGTTTCAATACTATTCAACCTGATGACTCCATAACTTTTAGATGGCACCTTTAGTTGTATATCTGTACTTTAATAGATTCCATATCTTTATCCAACTAGATAGCTTTCTTTAAAGATGTACTCCAACTCGGCTTCAACTTAATTCTCATATCCTCGTCTGTTATTGTATTTATAAATCGGTCACATGCCAGTGATTCCATCATTTCACGTGGAGGATTTGGGTAAAATAGTTGAGCAATACTTTCCAAGTCTTCTACAAGTTTGCCTAAGGCCCCCCCCCCCCCTGTACCATGTTCTGGATACTTCCTTCTGGTGTATCACTCCAAACCTGTTAAATAATAGTTGTTACAGTTTTCAGCTGAAAGATTAATTAATGTCATAAAAGGCTTGTCCTTTTAAATAGGCAACAAGATGACTAGCTTGTTATTCACTTTACATGCTGTTCACTGTAGAAATTATTTCGAATTGGGCCTTGTATGCATACTATGGTACGTTTCCACGCTGATTTCTCTTAGCCCGTTCCCTTGTCTGTGGTTTCGCAAGATAGTAGATAGGGACAGTTGTGTAATTGGCCAGCTAACTTCTGCAATTGGATTTGGTAATGACATGGCTGGAGTAGACCAAGAAGATCCTTCAATAACAGATGGCACAATATTAGTGGTAATAAGTGTATACCAAATAGGTTTTACAATTTCATATTTTGCAGTAAATTGTGCTTTAGGTTGAAATCGATATTTTACGTTATACAGGTTTTATGTCACAGGTAATATTCGACCTGTGAACAACCACTGCCCGAACCGTACTACATATAATGTACTATAGGCAATGCTTAGTGATATAGACTTTGTTCAATAACAATTGAGATAAAAATTACTGATAAATTATTATTTTTTGGTAATTATTTTAGATATATTTTGATAATTGCTGGAATAAATATAAGTGAAGAAATGATACAAAAATAATAATTTGCCAAAAGTGTGTAGATTCGTTCATGGGCGGATTGGGAGCCAAAAAAAAGGATCAGCCAAATACTCAAAAATCAGGATGATATATATATATATATATATATATATGTGTGTGTGTGTGTGTGTGTGTAGTAAGAGAG